TAGCTTTTTTCAATTCTTCCATCATGTTTGTGTATACTGGTATCTAATAATGTGAACTTGATGTAGGTTTTTATTATATTACTGGTCGACTGAAGGAGATCATTATCACTAAAGGTGGTGAGAATGTGGCCCCAGTACCTATTGAACAGGTTAGAGGATTTATAATTAACTTGTGTACATGCTAAAGATCTTGTTTTTTTATCAATAGAATATGAAAGAAAAAATTCGTATTATCAGCAATGTAATGATAGTTGGCGATGAAAGACATTACTTGACAATGCTAGTGACAATACGCTGTGTGGTAAGACTGAATTGTTTGTTAATTATGATAATAGTTCTCTTATATGATCACAGCTGCTTGATGGACGCCAACCAACTGATGACATGGACTCCATTGCTAAGCAAGTAGCTTATGAAATAGGATCTAGTGCTACTACTGGTCAGTGGCCCAGTCAATTATATTAATTACTAGAGGGAATGGTGTTATATTTAGTGTCAGAAGCTATGAATGATGATGTTATTAAACGTTATATACAGCAAGGAATGGAACAGGCTAATGAGCAGGCTATTAGCCGGGCAGCAAAAGTTCAGGTATGGCAATATCTTATTTATATACTCCACAGTCCACATGACAGACATATTAATAATCTGCATATTTTTTGTTATGAATAGGATTTGTGGCTTTGGTTATTTGCATTTTTATTTTTATTTTTAGAAGTTTGCTATACTTCCTCTTGACTTTAGTGTCGATGGTGGAGAGCTGACTCCTACTTTTAAGCTAAAGAGGAAATTTGTTACTGAAAAATATAGAGACATCATTGATCAGTTATATTCAGAGTAATTGCATGCGCTCAAATTATTATTTGTTGGTAATTATTTGTCATCACTGTCATCGAGTTTAATCATGTAAAGTTTAATAATTATTTATGATTATAACTTGAATGAGAAGTACATGCATCCTGTTATGCTAGCTTGCACACATAACATAACACGCATCTTGTTATGTTATGTTATGTTATGCTTGCATCTTTATGTTTGCACACTTATTGTTTTTGCATTAAGATAAACTTTTTATCATTTCCGCTTAACTACAATAAACAAAACTGTAATCATTGTATAAGTACAAAACAAGTGCACGCAAGTTTTGTTATTGAAGTCGATATGATGATTGCAGTAAGTTAGATCTACTTGTATTGAGTAACTATAGCTGCCTTACTTTCTTTTATAGATTATTTTGTTTCTGTTGGTATCTTTTGTCATCTCCCAAGATCTAGACAACCATACCACAACCTTATACGTTGCTAGTGATGATAGTGACTGTCATTTAATTGTGAATCATGAGTGTCACATGTTTTCTTTTTATGCAAATTTCTTTTTTCCTCCAAATACCAAACTTATCTTCTTTCCGGGAATGCATGTAATACCTGGTAACTTTATTGGCTTCCTAGATTCCAATAATCTAGTCATCAGAGGCAATTCAGGAGCTGGCGAAGAGAAAGCAAAGCTCATTAATGGTTCAATGGTGATTTTAAATTCACACACAGTTACACTAAGAAATTTAGAAATACCTTCTCTGATGCTGATTAATAATAGTAACATTGAAGCATTCAACATGTTTTTCAAAGGTATTTTGACAGCTGTTAATTCTACCAACATTGCAATATCTAATACGAGTTGCTATTCGATGATTTTGATTAATGCTGTAGTGCAACTAGAAAATATCATAGCTTCAGCAAGCTACAAAGTCGTTGCAGTCATATTCATTGAGGGCATAGGCAATCATTCAAATTTGAGCAATGTAACTGTAAAGTGTAATGGATGTTATGCTCTTGCAGTTATAGGGAGGCTGGACACTCACAGTTGTCACGTAAACATTAGAGATGTCACAGTAACAGGTGGAAAAATTCTGATCAAAAACGTGCACAATCATTTGAGTATCTCCAGTGTCAAAGCCACTGTTTATCAAAACAGATGTAATTATACCGTATTCTCAGTATTAAACTGTAGTAGCTACATGAGCATCACCAATGTAGCAGTAAATGGTGGGCGAGTTGCAATAGTAATCAATGGAAGTCATTTCGTTTTTAAAAATTTCACAATAAACATTGAGGCCACCCTCGTCCTTACACAAGAGACCTTTTATTGTTATCTTCTTTTTATTGATGGCAGTAAAAACAGTCATCATGTTGACATTGCTGGGATCCGAGTAAGAGGCGGTGGAACAATTTCAGTGAGTGAAATCAACAGTAATCTGAATATTAATGATATCTATACCAATGTTGGACTAAATGTTGCATTTAATGGCAATAATATAAGCATTGGTAATTCTTATGTGGTTGGGATAATGCGATTGTTAAAAAATGGGGATAATATTACACTTAGAAATATTACAGTAGGTTACAGCAAAGACAAGACCATTGGTCTGTCAAGAGATGATGACTACTTATGGAATGCATCAGCACTTTCAGTAAGAGGTTGTGGCAGTTACGTAAGTGTTAGCAATGTGACTATATTCAATGGAATAATGGTCCTATTTCGAAACAAAAACAACATTTCTCTGCAAGATGTCACAGTATATAT